TGGTGTTAAACCACAATATTCATACATAATATGACCATCTAATTCGTCTTTAAATTTGCCAGTAACTTTTTTTATTTTTATCAGAGTATAAGAAATGGTCTTTACTATATCCAGAGGTATCAAAATAGTGCAAGTCACATTCTATTTCCTTGTAAAAAACCTCTGTAACTATAGAATATATTGAAGAATCTGTATCTGTCATAAGAAATCTTTTATTCTTAAATTTTTACATATAATTATAGTAGAAATCATCTATATATTTAATACGCTAGGCATATTTTTGTCATAATTGTTTTGGAGCGGTGGTGCTACCGATCACCATGTTCAAGGTGTCGTTAGAAAGGTCTTAGTATGTATTTTTGCCATCAAACAAAAGAACTTTGGAATTCCAACAGGGCTCATCCCCAGTGGCATTCAAAGTCCACATGTTATTCTTAGGGAGAATATGTTTGTTTACATTAGAACAGATGAATACTTTGAAATTGACACTATTATTTGAAACAGCTGGTTATACTAAAATTGGAGACATAAGATTGATGTTTCACTGTTTTAACCAGTTTTTAATTGCACAAAATCAAAACATAACCAAAAAAACGTTCGACATAATGGAGACTATAAGAAGTCGACCAGGACGGCCAATAGGAGGAGGCCGACGAACTTAAACTGGTAGACGAGAACGAAATACAAATAATACTATTGTCGTTGATAGCCGAATACAGCAAGCACCATTCCGTGCTGGGTTTAAGTGTGCTCTCCAAAAGCCGCCTGAAGATTTCACATTCAATTTAGGACTGATAGGAGGATTGGACACTGTGCTGCATTTCTTGATAAATCATTGAAAGAGCCGATTTGCAAACTATGGAAACATAGGAAAGTCATAGAACACCACCAAGTAGAAAAAATAGAAATCATGTGTGTTTTTTTAGTGTTTATATCGTTATTATGGACAACCTAATGCAGCTATGAGTGGGAAACATTAGTAGAAAACGCTAAAAAAACAAGATCAGCTTTTGAAAAATGAAAGATATTTACAAGAAATGTTTATTATATCGAACTGTTATGCATATCGTAAGTATTTCCATAATCTTTGAGTCGACTCTTTTAAAGTCATCGGAAATTATTACTATTATTCGTTTTAAAATAACGGCTGTAATACTTCGCAATTGCTCGAATTCGAGCAAAAGGTACACTAGTACATTATTACTTTACTGATATCCAAAATGATCATGCCTGAATATATTGGTTTATTAAACTTTACAAATAATTTATTTAAATGTATAGCATGTAAATTGCTATCGAACTTTTTGCTACAGTCAAAACTTGGATTAGTGACATATTTTTTTGATAGTGACTCATCCTTGAGATGTATATCACGAAACTTGCGTTGGTTCATAATTGTTCGACCAAAGAGACTATTATTTAACAATTTATAAAAGTATTTTTCGAAATCATTTTTAGCACATTTTCGTTTCTCAACATTAAAATTAATATGAGGCGCAAGCCATTTAGACTGTCTAAATTTAAAAATTCTGTGGTATTTTGTAACAACCAAACCTAATTCCTCATATTTTTGTAATGCTTTATAATGTAAAATATATTTAGTTTTTTCATTTAAATTTGATATTAATTTGCCATTCATTTTCTGTGGTGCAAATGGATAGTCATTATGTAAATCATGTAAACTTTTATCATATTTTAAATCAACTTCAAAAATGTATCCAAACTCATCATTTTGATTATATTTGTAGTCTATCTCCTAGTCGAACGGAATTCATCCACAGGCAGTGGCTCGCACATTGCTGTGGAGTATAGTGAGTTACAGTCTAAATATATTAAATACACACTCTCTTGATTGGGGTCATAGTGTTCGCCCATATATTTATTATTGGCTTTAGCATAACGTGTGGAAATCATACTGACTCCTCCTCTAATTGCACTTTCTATGAACAAATGCATGTCAATATCTTGAAATAATTGTAATTTTATACCAGTCATTCTAAGACAAGCCTCCCATGTAAGTCCGGGAAGTGAATACATATGTACGGGGTCAAGTTTGTAATCTTTTAAACACAGGTCTCTAAATGTCTCAAAGACGTCAGCCAGTAGCAATACATCTGTTTTAAGATATAAATCATGATATTTTTGTAAATTATTTATATTAAAATGTGTCCAGATATGTTTTGCATGTTCATATTCATGTCGAGGGATATATTCTTTAGTTAGAGTACTGTAAAATGCTTCAATTGGAGGGAGAGACTCTGCAAACTTATCTGTTCCTGTCATATATTCATAGGGAAATACACCTTTGCGTTTTAGTAGTGGATTGTCTATGAATCTAAATATATTTAAATTGGAAGCTAATTTGTATAATGGAAGGGACAGAAAGTTATAGGAATCTAAAAATATTAAATCATCGACAGAGAATGAAATGTACTTTTCCATATCCTTGGCTATACAATTTAATCTACGATTAAACTTTGCAAACTTTTCCAAGTGTTGCATTATTAAATGTCCATCATAATTTTTTAAGTTATGGAAAATTACTGGTATTTTCTTTGTTACTTTATAGTTTAAATTACAATCATTGTGGGCAGCTCCACAATATTGGCCATTTGAATTTCTAGCTAAAAAAGTTTAAAATTTCGTAATTTTTTAATTTTTCAAAAAGTCTATATATAGAGGTGGCATCAGCCCGAGACCTCATTCTTAAACATGAAGCCGTCATGTCAACACTGCTCCATGTCGCTCTCCAACAAGAGCAATATGATTCGTCACTACAAGGTAATACATCAAATGAAAGGTGAAACTGTGCAAAGTTTGTGATTTTATATGTGATAGCCACATTGATCTAAAATCTCATATATTACAAAGACACAAGAGTTGTAATTTTTGTAAAACAAATGTTGTTGGACATTTTAGAAGACATGTCAATTCTTGCAACAAATGTCCATACACAATGATAAAATTTGTTGGTGAATCGATTAGAACTGACTTTGAAAATACTCTTAAGTCTTGTTCTCTGCCGATAAAATGGACTTTAGTAAGGAGAATTAAATTTATAAAATATTCAATGGATCAAAATGGAAAATTAGTTAATGAAACAGAATTAATAGCGGATTTTAGAAGCCTTACTACCTTAACTATTGAGAAGAGAGATTTAAAGCCTCAAATTGAAAATGCACCTTTAAAGATTGACGCTTCGATGCACAAATATCAAGCCCAAGGCAGTGGGTGGATATATGTCCATACTAATATTGGCAGTTGCATGTTTACAAGTATAAGCCCCTAACTCCAAAGTCTTACATTCCCACACTAGATAGTATTAAATTGAAACATGCAGTTCTAAATGTAAACAATTCAGACAGTAAAATGATTCCTTTTGGTCAATTTTAGCAGCTTTGTATCCAAGGAATGCTAAAAATGAAAGTGCTAATAGGGTCTCTAATAATTATGCACCCTATGAAAGTCAAATGAATATGACTAACATAAAGTGTATTCCGTGAAAATATCTGATATAGATAAAATTGAAGGACAAAATAATATAAGTGTTAATGTATTTGGTGTTGAAGATGATAAATGTATATATCCATTAAGAACAACCAAACTAAATAGTAATATTCATATAGATCTATTATTATTACAAGAAGGTCGTAAATCGCATTACTGTTTAATTCGTGATTTTGATAGGTTAATGTTGCGGTCTACAAGACAAAACAATAAGAAACATTTTTGCAAGTTGTGTTTGCAACATTTTTATACTAATGATAAATTAGAACGTCATATAACATATTTTAAAAACTTTGATGCCCAACGAGTGGAAATGTCTAAACAAGATAGATAACAATTTAAAAATTATAAATATCAACTAAAAGCTCCATTTGTAATTTATACAGATTTTGAATGTTTTATAAACTCTAACAACCATACTCCATCTGGATTTGCATTTGTTGTAGTAAAAGATTCTACAATTATTTCTGAAGAGTTATACAGTGGTGTAAACGTTATGGACGAGTTTTTCGAAAAGTTATTTGACTTATATTTATTAAAAGTGAAATGGCAATATATATTCCCCTTGTAATGACTCCAGAGCAAGAGGCATCTTTCCAAAACTCAACGCATTGTCACATTTGCGAAAAGCCCCTATATTTTGATAGGTTGCGAGATCATTGTCATTCACTTTCTTTGTTTACTTATTTATTAAGCGATTGATGCAGTGAAATTGATAGGCCTACATAGATGAAGATTCGTTTAATGATGTCAGGATACCAAAGTTATTATGTGTACTGTGAATTCTATTGGATATTATCGTTTTAGGTAGTTTTTATTCAGACTTACTGGAAATTGTGTATAGTATGAGTAATAATTGTATTGTGGTGATAATATTTATTATGGAAGAGGCATGTGATAGTTAGCGATGGAAGGTAGTATGGTAGTATAGTTGACTGGGCCTATACACTTCTCAATTGACTATTACCTTTGACTATCAATACAACCAATAGTCAATGCTATTACTCTCTCTACTGTACTTATAATCAGTGTGCGAATCGACATCAAATCTAACATCGATTCTTTTCACATCGACACAATTGCTGTTTTATTGTAAAATTATCGGATTTAAAATGCATATCGTATAGGCCTATGATGGGATGAAAACATATTTGACACGCTACATTTGTTTACAAGATGATTTTTCACATTAAAACTGCAAGAAAATTTGTCTTTATAGGTGTTAACTAGCTGTTCTGAATTATATACAGAGTTTTAACTGACTACTCGATTCCCGTATGTAGGACGGGCTAACACCTCGTATATTTTATTATGTGATTTTTAATAGTAAGAATTTTAAACACAACTTGCTTATATTATACTGTTTAAACACACTAGTTTATTTAATGTTAAAAATGTTATCCGATCTTTCCGTTTTTTAATGTAGCCCAATATTTATTGTACAGCAATGGCATTTGCACACAAAACCAAGGCCAATCAAGTTTTTATTCTAGGAGAAAGCAGCAGAACAGATTCCTCCGGCTGTCCATGCCTACTACAATAAAGGCTTGTAAAGTATCTACCTACAGCTTCACCACCACGCCATCAACAACAATACAAGTGCTGCCAGCGAGGTCTAACAGTGCGACCATCTTGTTGAAACACTTGTTACAACTGTTGGAACCTGTAATGAGACCGTTTGTTGTAAGCAATAAACTACCGGCCTATTTAAAACTAATCTTAAGGAACTTTTTTTGTTTAAAAAGCTTAGAACATACTTGCATACCGTATACAAATAACAGTAAAAAAGTTCCCGGAATGATTTCTTATAAATGTGTTGAATAAAGATAAAAAACATACAAACCTATTTTCCGTCAAAATAATCTCCTTCAAAATCCTCTGCAACTGCAACCACCACACACTTTTCCCAAACGTCTTAGTCAAGTATTGGTCTTAAAAACAATTTTGGAACTCACTTTTTTAAGTGATTTCAATGACTTCGTCGCATTTTGTTTGATACACTCAGCATCTGCAAATCGTTCTCCTTTTAATGCAATTTTCAAACGCTGGAACAGGAAGGAATCGGCAGGCGCGAGGTCGGGTGAGTAGGGGCACGTAGGGGGGATGTTCTAGCGTGGTGACGCTGTGCTTCTATAGGTAATGGATGCCATGTCGATGTGCGGGGGCGTTGTCATGAATGAAAATTCAATTGTCTTCCGCTCAATTTTCAGGGCCTTCTGATGGCATCTCTTAAGCGCCTGAGAATTTCGACTTAAATTGGCTGCTTGTGTACGGTTTGCCCCTGTGGGATAAACTCATAGTGAATTACGCCTTTTGGATAAATAAACCTCAAACATCACATTTTCTTTGTTTTTGTCCACAGGAAATGTTTCCTTCCTTGGAGATGTTTTGTTATCCACTCAGAGACCCCCCCCCCAAAAAAAAAAAAGAAATTGCAATGACCTTAATTAAAACAAAAAAAAAAAAAATTAAATTAAAAATGAAATTACTTAACTGCTGAAATTCATTTAATTTTTCATTTAATTTTACTTTTCATTTAATTTTATTTTTCACTCATACAAAATAATAAAACTAAATTGCGCCACTTTAACTTCATAATCTTTATAGCAACTTAGCAGACGCACAGGCACAGCCTATGTCTGCTAATTCCAGAACTAATTAGATAGGAACAACCTTTTACGCATGTATATAGTTAATTAGTTATAGTTAGTTAGTTTAGTTTTGCATAAAGAACTTTTTTCTTTTGTACATTTGGTTGTGTAATTTTTATATATGTGGTGGAATAAATTCATAATTCATTCATTCATTCATTCATTCATTCATTCATTCATTCGACCTAGTATGCGTCATACTAGTACCCTTGTTGATACCCCTGTCAAAACTTGAAAACTCATGAGTTTCACTAGGTGTTTTTTTTTACACAGATTAATGTTTGGGCGCTAAATGAAATGCCATTTTCAATGCAGTTACACGACCAACAGTAACCAACAATACACTTGCAGGTACACGAAAATCGCTTACTAATCAATACCAATGCTGCACTAGTGCACTACGGCCATACTACGGCTCGTCAATTATTTTCAATGCTAATGATGTTTTTAATCATGTTAATGATAATAATGTTAAAGGAAAATTATTTTCAATGCTAGGTCAATTACAAAAAAAACTATTTCTTCCCAAATGTACGGAATTCTAAGTAATGGTTTGATTCTTACTGATAACGAGAATATGTTTATTTAATAAATTTCAAGGTTCGTGATATTTTGATTAGCAATAATGACATATCTTTGTCCAGTATACATTAATTTTTGTCGTATAACATTTCATATTATTCATGAGTCAGCACTTTTACTATCCCAAACATATTATTACATTGGACAAACGCACAATGAATAATATTATTGACTTTGGATGTTTAAGCAATGATTATATGTAATTTGTGTAATACTTGTAATATTTATACGGTATTTATCTGCTATGGAAAAAACTCTTTACTTAATACATTATATTACATCCAGGTCCGTTTGCAGTTAATTATAGATATCTACATGATATTACATTCTGCAGATAATGCTGACTCGTCTATATAGAGTTGCTATAATCAAGCTGTAATATTGAGCTGTCTATACACAATCCAACATGGACAACATCAGTCCTCGTACTGAGCTTGGTTTGCTTCAAACACTTGTCAGACTGTGTCAAAGTTTCAAAATGCCAAATTCGTATTTCTTTACACGTGGCAAAGTTGAAATGCAAAACCGTGATGATCTTTTCTCTGCGCGCTGAGAACCAACCCGAGGTTTAGTTATCGTTATCAAGACATTTTTTATATAAATAAAGTAATGTAATCCACTAATTAGTTCGGACAAATTGTTTATTAAATCGAAATTGTTGTTTTAATTTTTTTTTTTGCTTTAAAACCTGGTTCACAAAGTTAGAAAACCGTATTGAAACGATTCATCATAAAACAATTAAAAATTGTTGGTTGTATGAACATGCATAAAACATAAATAGTAGATAAAATGTGATAGATATCAATAAAAGAGTACTCAATTTATTTAAAGTGTTTTGTTAAATCGTAACTGTATCACTTTTAATTATATATTGGAGCTTTGAGGATTACAAAGCCCTAGTAATCTAAACCCCCTAGTAAGTAAACCCCTTTACTTGTACTAATTTTTCAATATACATGAACCATAATTTTAGATGAGAATAATGATGCGGCTTGTACTTTGTACATTGTACAGTTTTCTACTTGGATGGCCATGTTGTATCCTTTGTGGGGAGTGTAAGCTGGTGAGTTTGGGAGAAAACAATTGTGGGAGAAATGTTGTTCACGATATGCTTACATTCTACTCGTATATAGACAGTATGGTTTTGTGTATTTAGGAAATTGTTTCATTTATCTGTATTTTATGTTTCAAGTTTACCTCTCTATGAATGGCTAAAGTATTGTTAACGGAAGTTTTCTGTGCTAAAGCTATCTCCTAAATGTTGATTGTAATATTTAAAATTAGCTTTAAGCTGTGTACGTGTTAAATTATTGTTGCTACTTACAACGTGTTGAATGATCAGTGTCTATGTAAAACTCAATTGTATAGAGTATTAATATTATATCTGGACAATAATTAGTAATTTAAATTAAAATGCCTATTTGCGGATTCATCACAGTTTAAACACAGATTCTGGTAAGAGTTAATTCATAGAGTTTCTTCTTCGTGGTCAGGTATAATTTTGGGCGTGTGGTCATGTTTTTAGGTTTGTAATATGTTGCACCTTTTGCATTGGTTAACATTGTTTTGCAACTCGATTATTTTTCAAAATATACTGCATCTTGATTATCTGGTGACTTTCTGAAACTGGATTGTAATTGTATCAATTTTTCTGTCTCCAGAATTGTTGAATTATAAATAAGGTTACATACCTCCAAGAGTCCAAGCAATTCCTGGTTTAGTGCATTCCTTTTTAGACTAACTAGTCCCTATGACCAGCCAGCTTCATAACCTTAAATTCTTTAAGTCTTTTTATGTAGTACAAATTATTGTTTAAATATTTTATGTATGTAGTGATGATTCTGTGAGGATGATGTTTCGTGTTTTTGAAGACCTGATGGGATTGTGTAATCCCGAAATGTATAGCCCACATATTCATTGGTCTAAAACAGGAATTGCTTGGACTGAAGGTATGTATCCTAGATTATTGAAGTCTTTTGTTTTAATTTGCGACGTCAAACCACTGTCTCCGTAAGGCAAACAAAAATACAAATTGACTAATAAGGTAACTGTGTTTCTATGACAAAGGGAATTTGCAATCCCAACCCCCTTCATGTGTTCCTTGTCCAAAGAAAGGTACAGGTGCTCGTGACGAAGGGTGTGCTGTATCCGGCCAATGAATACTTTTCTTGTAGGAACCGCGTCCGTTGTTAGTACCCCCCCCCTTTAGCTCCCTGTCATCAGAGTTTAATTTAATCTATTGCGCCCTTTTGCACGAAAACCGAAACAAAATACCCCCGCCGCAGCAAACCTGCAGACTTAGCGAATTTCCATTTGCCTGATTGGATTTAAAATAAAAAATGTCTCCTTAAAAATATCACATTGATTCCCTATTTAAACAGAATTAGTTTAATGAGTACTTAGGTTTGCTGCAACAGGGAGGGTAAAAAAGTTTTTTTTATGTCAAATATTAAAAGGTACTGTATGGTTTAGTAAGAAATTAATGTATTTTCCAAATTTGATCAAAATATGTTCATAAACAAGCAAACTACAACAGTTGACTTATTCTCCATAAGAATAACATGGGAATTTTGTTGTTCAAAGGTTTATTGCGGACATTTTCCATCACGAATGTAAAAAACAATACACAACGTTTCAGGATCTGGAATCTGATCCCGATGGGAATTTTATAATTACAATTTTTTTTAATTTTCTCCGTAACAATTAGGCGCATAATAATGCTTCAATATACTAAATTATTTGTTTTTTTAAGCTCTACAAAATGGTTTAAAAAGAAATTGTGAAATTTTGTGTTTTTAGGGTCAAAAATGGGAAAACCCTATTTTTACCCCATAAAACCCCCCATAATGCCCCGTTCCCATAGTCCGATCATGCTGGTTCGCGAACTCATTCAAGTTTATCCCGCCTTACACCTTCAAACCAAATTTCATCAAAATCGGACAAAAATTACTCAAGTTATCGTGCGGATGGACACACACACATATATATATATATATATATCTATATATAGATATATAAAAATTTGAACGAATGGTGTTTTTGGCCTTTGGGGACATCAAAATGAAAAAGTAAATCGGTCCCGGGCTTAGGTCTTACCATGAGACCTACGGTAATAACTACTTCCCTATAGGGAAATTCGCTAAAACAACCACATTTAGCGAAATATGGTTTCGAAATAACTTTCGAAATTTAAAAGAAGCTATTTTTAACTGATGTTTATTTGAAACCTTGGCACTCCATACATACTCTGTAGTCTGTTTATGGCATGGTAAACTCCCTAAATGAAATGATTTTGCAATTATATGATAGCACGCTCCAATCATTACCCGAAGGGTCTGACTTAGGGGAGGTACGATAGGGATAGAGGCATTAGTTTAAAATTCCTCCGTGAACAGCGCTGTAGTAGAGAGCATTTTGGCAATGAAGGTTTACTAATCGCAAAAATAGTTCTGTTCATAAAATAAAATTGTAAATGCCTCAAATTTAATTTTATATTTTTTTTATTATAAAATTAATCTATCATAACCTAACCGAACTAACCAAACTTGCTGATAGTGAAATAATAGAAAAAAGTTTACTAATAGAAAAAATAATTCTGTTCATTAAATAAAACTAGAAATTGCTCAATTAAAATTTTATAACGACTTAATAATAAAATTAAACTGTCATAACCGAACCAAACCAACCAAACTTGCTGATAATGAAAAAATCTTAGACAAAAAGTTAGTGAAATCAGCGGATTTCAAACCCGGGACTTTCAGTATGTCAGCCCGGCACGCTAACCACTAGACCACCGGAGCCGATGGTTTCAATCCGCATTGTTACGGTAATGGTGTTCCCTCAGCTAATAAGAAGCCCACAGCTGTCATCGTAGGCTCATCTGTACCTCTCCTGAGTAAATACCTTACCCGAAGGGTTAATAAGAAGCATCCCGTACCATGGATCACAAATGAGATCCTCAGGTTAATGGCTCAGCGGGACTCAGTCTTTCGCAGAGCCAGGAGAACTAGAGACGTGGGGCTAATAGCCCAATACCATCAGCTTAGAATCCAAGTTGAGCAACAATTACGCAACTCTCACCTTCATTACTTCCATAGGCTGTTTTCAGATAGAAAACCAGGCTTCTTCCGTGCTATGGCGTAATTTAATGAAGTTTGGTCTTGGGAAACAAGAAAAGTCTAACATCGTGTCACGTTAAATTCTTTGAATGATTATTTTTTACCAGGATCTACCAATTCATATTGTACAACTATCCAGAACCATTTAAATGACTTACATCTACAATGCAATCCAAACAATGTTTTTTAGCGAATTTTATTTTTGGCCCATTTTGCAATCTGAGGTTTGAAAGCTATTAGACGAATTACGTCTGATGCCACTGGTTCTGAAAATATCCCAATTTCTCTAATTAAACTGGTTTTGTATGCTCTCCTCCCTACGGTAACTTTAATTTTTAATTCTTCTCTAAGAACAGGTATTTTCGCAGAAAATGGAAGTCTGCTTTAGTCCGTCCTTTGAATAAGATCTCATCCCCTAAATTTCCTCAAAATTATAGGCCGATTAGTATTCTTCCTGCTCTTTCTAAGGCACTCAAAAGAGTAGTCCATTCTCAAATATCTGATTTCCTCTCTGAAAACAGAATTTTAAACGAATTTCAATCAGGTTTCCATCAATCTTACAGCACTGAAACTGCTCTGTTGAAGATAACTGATGGCATATGCCTTGCTATGGATCGTAGTCAATGTACAATACTGACATTATTTGATTTTAGTAATGCTTTCGATACAGTGAATCATGAAATTCTTCTTACAAAACTCAAAATAATAGGTTTTTCTAATAGTTCATTATCCTGGATGAGATCATATCTTCATGGCCGAAAACATGTGTGTCATGTCAAAACTTTGTCTGACTAGAGGCACGTACCTTGTGGTGTTCCTCGAGGATCAATACTTGGCCCTTTACTTTTTACTATCTACATAAACTACATCAATTCATTCTGACACAACACGCCAAGTTTCATTCTTACGCTGTTGACTTACATATCTACGCTCATTTTAAAGTCAGTGTGGCGAATGGAAAAATTACATCGATGAAGACATCAGCGAAATTGTGCAGTGGGCAGCAAAGAATGGACTTAAACTAAACCCAGACAAAACCAAACCAATTATCACTGACCACGCACGACAACTCAACAGACTTGACCAAAACATTTTACCCAACATTACAGTGAACGGTACTGCAAGGGCGCCGGCAGAGAGGGGCAGGGGGGGGCCTTGGCCCCCCCCTGGATCATGGAAGATTTTTTTTATATTGGCAAATCCAACACTGTTGCAAATGTAGGCGAATACAGCATTTGTGTTATTGGCTAAAATGTTTGGCAACACTGAACTGATCCTATCCCGCTCACCCCTACTCCCACACTACAAGCGATTTCCTCCCCCTTCCCTCCCCCTTTCAACCCCCTTCCCTCCCCCTTTCCTCCCCAACACCTGTAACACGTGATTCCTAGGTCGTAAACTATTCACCTATTGTCTCAGAATTCGTGCGTGTCACTTGACGAGACAGCTTTCTGCGTTACACAGTGTTAAGATTTTTGGAGGTAACGGAGTGTTGAAAGTTTGTGTTGTGTTCACAAGTTGTGTTGGCTTATGGTTATTGTTATTATGTAATCAATTTCGCGGACTTGTAGATAAAACAGTGGGAGAAACTCAGTGATTTGATCAAATAGAGGTAAGTGATTTTAAATCTTTTCCTCATTGAAATGTTAATAACTTTATGCCTGTATTTTGGATGTGATTAAATTACAAATGGAAAATAAATATCACACCATACACTTTAGACTTTTTTATCTACATATGAACTGAATTGGTTTTCTAAGGACATAAAAAATGTAATCGGCCGTGGTTCGGTTCAAGGTGTTGAACCACTTCAAATAACAAAGCAATTATTCCTTATATTCATATTGGAAATTCGCTTAAAATATAAATGAGTAAACACAATGTCAATAAGTGAGAGACGTATTGAGAATTGTATTGCATCCTAATGCAGTCATACCATCACTATTCAATTTCGTTTAACTGGTACTATTTATATACCATGTTACGAGGTGTATGGTAGTTTTATTTTTATTTTAATACTCAGTTTGACAACTAGTTAACAATGATTGAAATGATAAAATATAAACATTTCAAAACACACTTCTGCTTGAAATGTTTTAGTTTACCATTCTGGACTTTAAAATGCACATAACCTACATTGTAAAACAAAACGAGCGGAGTATGAGTGTTACGGTAAACGCTTTTAGCAAGCATGGTCAGGTGACCTTGATAGAGAGAGACAGAGAAGTGTCACCCCGCCATCCCCCACGCTCAACCCCTTCCTTCTTATTCTTACTCAAACCCGAGTACAGTTGTCGCAGCTAGTCTGGGCGCGCGGCCACGCTAGGGTGCGGCGGGGTGTAGAGGGGAGTGTTTATTGCTTATTTCCAAAAACATCTGGCCCACACGGCTGTCTGGGGTTGTTCAGCGCCTCACTGCTGTCTTCGTGGCTTTGGCGTGGGGAACGGTTAGTACACAAGGGTCCGCGGGCCCAGACTAGCTGCGACAACTGTAACTGATAGGCCCGTGCGCCACGCCAACATACCGTATACACACTTCCTTATTATTCGCTTGAATGCACTTTTGTGTGCGTCAATGTCTTAAAAGAATTGAATTATGCTAATATAAACACGCAGTAAATATAACACCATGTATTATATTGGTATATTATGGCTTGAAATGCATGATATACAACCATACAAAAACACGATTAAATAGTACAAATACGCTGTTAATTTATTTGTATTTAAAAAATACGTCATGTAGAACAATGTCCTTAATCTTAACCCTGTACCCGCAGCACAATCATGCTGGTTCACGAAATTGTTTGAATAAAATTAAGTTTATACATTAATTAAGTTTATAAAACTAAAGTTTATTAATTAAATGTTTTAACATTAAAAAAAAAAAAAAACGGATAACGGATATATTTGTTTACAATTCGTCTACAATAATGCTGTTGATTTTAGGTGGTTGACAAGATGGACATAAGAAACTTTTTTAAAAACAAACGGCTCAAAGTTGATGAAGATGAAAACTCTTCAAATCAGCCAAGTGAATCACTTTCACTAGACAAGCAAGATATAGAAAGAAGCATAGATTCTCCTCAACCTCGACCAACACCAAACTTATTCAGAACTGATCCTTCTTCTGATAAAAGTTCAAATGAAGAGAGTTCGTGTCATGGAAATATTGATCAACTTGATCCTGGTCCTAGTGTATCAGGAAGTTATCAAAATCCCTCAGATATTGGTAGCTACACTGACAGAAGCAAAATCGACAGTTTAAATGACAGGACAAAATACCTGCTCCTACAAAATCCATGGAAACCGGATAAAACCTACAATTATAAGGCTGACGTTACTCCTGGAAAAAGACAATTTCTGCATGACTGGTTTAACCTCTATGAATGGATGGCCTACTCGAAGAATGAAAAGGGGGTGTTTTGCAAGACGTGTGTTATTTTTAGACCTCGTGTCTCAAGAGGTTTACAAGGAGCTTTTATTACCCGTCCATTCACTAATTACAAAAAGTTTCATGAATGTGCCAAATCTCACATGGCTTCTGAGTGGCATCGCGAGTCTTCAGAAAAAGCAAGCAACTTTATGTCGGTGATGAATAACAAGCAGCTTAGTGTCGAGGCTCAAGTGAACGACCAAGTTCAAACTGCTATTGAACAAAATAGAACCAAACTAAAGTCCATTCTTTCAACAGTGATTTTCTGTGCTACTCATGACTTGCCACTCAGAGGAAAAACTGATGAAGGTGCCGTGTTCAATGATCTTCTCCACTTCAGGGAGGAATCCGGCGATAAAGTTTTACAAGAACACCTCAAAACTGCACCAAAAAATGCCAAATACATTTCTCATGGTATTCAAAATGAACTTATTGATACATGTGCCACAACATTAAGAAGTGATCTGGTTAGAAAAATAAAAGATAACGAGTTCTTCTCAATTTTGGCAGATGAAACCATGGACATAGGAGGAACAGAACAACTATCCCTAGGTGTCAGGTACTATAACAGAGAAGAAAAAATCGTCAAAGAAGAGTTCCTTGGTTTTACTCCGCTTCAAAACGGGGTTGATGCCGAAACGATAGCAAATGCTATAACTGACACGTTGACAGGTTGGAAATTAAACCTAGAATTGGCTGTAGGACAAGGCTACGATGGATGTAGCACAATGGCTGGAGAAATTAGCGGTGTCCATAAACGAATAAGTACCAAGTTCCCAATGGCTAACTTTTATCATTGTGCCAGCCATAGGCTAAACTTGGCTATCAACGATGTAAGTGATATACCTCAAATAAGAAACACTGTAGGAACCATAAAAGAGGTGACTAAGTTTTTTAGGGAGAATTCTGGAAGAAGAAGCGTAGTTGGGACTTTGCAGAATTTGTGTGAGACCAGGTGGACGGAAAAGTACAAGTCCATCCGAAAGTTTCGTGATAAGTTTATTGACATAGTCAATGGTCTTGAAACCCTTTCAAAAGAGGGAAACAAAGACACAAAACAAAAGGCCTTTCAGCTCTACTGTGCAGTTACATCGTCAACATTCGTTGTAAGTTTAGAGATTGTGGCGAAGTATTCGGCAACATTAGAGACAGTTGCACAAATGTTGCAAGGAGTTAACGTTGACTTGATGCGTGTGGCAAAACATATTGAACGGCTAGTAGATTTGTTTAAAGAAGACCGAAAGAAAGATGAAGTCGTCTTCAAGGATTTAATGGCAAATGTTGACACGACTACAGAAGTTTTAGGCATCTCTTTGACTAGGCCTCGCACCAATACTAAACAAAGCCACCGCTCTAATGTACCATCAGAAAGTGTAGAGGACTACTACAGAAAATCACTGTTCATCCCCTATTTAGATTACCTCATCCGAGCCCTAAGTGAAAGATTCTCAAAAAAGAACCAGACTTCGTTTGAGTTGTTTAACCTCCACCCCTTAAAGATGAAGGCGATGACGAGGACAGAATTTGAAAACTCTCTGAACGACATTCTTGTCACTTACAGCAATGTTCTGGACAACTTTAAGATCGAAGGTCTTTTGTGGTACGACCTTTGGGCAAAAGACGTTGCAGACAGCGGTTCCGACGAGATTTTAAGCAACATCTGTTTAGCAGACCTCATCACCCACAACCACGCAGCATTTTTGCCAAGTGTTAGCAGAGCAATACAAATTGCGATATGCTTGCCACCAACAACATGCACAGTTGAAAGATCCTTCAGGTAACTGTTATTTCTTTTGATGAATACTAACCTTACTGTATATCTCAATTATTCTTAACGAAAAAGAGTGAATGAAAAACAAACCTTGTTTTTAAGTTAAAGATTACTTTTTCAGTTTAAGCTGAGTTAATTTATAGATAAACAAATTAGCCCACACTAACATTGTTCGTACATATAATAATTTCTAATAAGATGGGTTTTTTACTTCTTGTAATAACCAGTAGGCAACACTTTATTTAAAATATGCTCACAATTATTAAGTTTAAACTAATGAAAAAAGAAGACTGCGTTATGGTAACTTTAGGCTGTTAACATTGTATGTACCAGCCGGAATTTAATAAGTTTAAAATTAAAGAATTTTTTAAAATTTGTGTTGATATTTTTGTTTTGAGTTAGTCGTTATTTCACAATTAACTACGAGTGTAGGGTATTACAATGCTAGTTACATAACGATAGCTAACGTTTGACCGTTTTTTCAGCACAATGAGAAGAGTTAAAACTTGGATTCGGAACCAGATTGGGCATAACAGACTCAGTGGCCTTTGTCTCATGTCTGTCCACAGGGAATCCATAAACAAGAACAAAGAAGAGTTTGTAAATAAATGTATTGATTTATTCTCAATGGAAAAACGGCGAATTCAGTTCTTGTTCAAATAAAATAAGTTTACAGTTTGATTTACTCATGGCTAAATTAATTTACTTCCTTAGGTGCTTTGCAGATAGTTAATAACACATTTAAAAGTCGACAAAGCTTGTATGATACCATTATTTTAAAAAGATAAAAGTAGTTACAATAGTTTGTGTGCAACATATTGTTAAAAAATAGAAACATTAAAACATATAACATTCAAACTTATTACAAAATATATAAAGGTAAGTTAATTTGTATTTATGAAGTAATGTCTATATATGGTGTTAAAGGTATTTCGTATTCTGAAAAAGAGTGGCGTTTCCCTGTATTACTTTTTTTCGGCTCCAAGTTGTGGGAAGCGCAGCGCCGCCGGCCACCACCTGGCCGATGAAAATGCAGTGGGGTTGCTACGACGACGCTTCCCGATCGTGTGTTGCTCACATCTTCCGCATTCATTGCTGCACTTTCTTTATATTTAAATTTATTTTTTCTTTGGAAATGGTATCACTTATGATATCACAAAAATATGAGAAAATAGGGACAGAGAATTTATCTTCAACAAGAAATATTTAAGAACGAAATTGGCCGAAATCGTGAGTTTTGAATATTAAAATATCAAAATTTTCCCGGGGGGGGACCCCCGGACCCCCCTCTATGCAGGGGGGTATTCCATACCCCCCTGACCCCCCGGTGGGTCTATGTCTGCCGCCCCCCCCTGTACAAGTTTCTGCCGGCGCCCCTGCGGTACTGTATTGCCATACCAAGACAAACTTAAAGGTTTTGGTTTGACGATACACAACACATTGGACTGGACTGACACGTTGGTTAACACGTGTAAAAGAGTGTTTGCCGCCATCCACACACTGAAGAGATGCAAAGACTTTTACCATTTCACATTAGACTTTTACTGATCAAGGTACACTTGTGTTTAGCCACTTAAATTACTGTAATACCGTAGTTAATAATGAATGAATAATTAAATAACCGTGGCTTTGACAACAAAATTACAACGAGCTCAAAACTATTGTATTAGATTTGTATATGATCTTCAACGAGATGATCACGTCACACCGTATTATATACATTCTTTTAATTTAAAACTGTCCTATGTTAGATACATACGAATCATTAATTTAACTAATTTGGCCATCAATCTCAAAATTCCAAATTATCTCGCGAACAATTTTAGATTTTTGAACGATAGAGGTAGAAGAAACACTCGCTCTGGCTCATATACTCTCCAAATTCCCACAAAACAACTGTTTCTAATAAATCTTTTACAGTAACAGCATACCGCCTTTGGAATTCCCTACCCAACTTCATCAGGTGCTTAGAATCCCGTTCCAGACTGACGGCGGCGCTGAAAGCATACAACTGTACCTTGATCGGATGACCGTGGCTTGGCGGGATCAGGGCCGGGGATAGTAGCTAGTACTGCTATCCCCGGCCCTGGGCAGGATGGCGTAGGCCTAGGTGTGGCAGAGAGTGAATGTGTGTGAGTGAATGCGTATGTTTAGTGATTATGATTATATTACTTTAGTTTATAGTTATATTTGGTTTCGAATTTAAAAACATGTTTGATAAGAAAATCATTGTTTAATTTATATTTAGATTTACGAGGTTAACTGTAAGAATGGACCATGTGGTCATAATTATTATTCACCTCAATAAATAAGTATTTTCATTCATTCCATCGGACTATTGGTCTACAAAAGTAATGTTACTCAACAATGTATTTTCTGTATCATACCAAGTACCAACATTCATTTTCTTAGTGTTATTTCGAGTATAAAATGCAGAGTGTGTTAGTCCGTTAATTGGCATTTGATGTACAAATAAGGTCTACAGATCACAATACGAATCTTTATGAGGTGTAATGTATTGATTGTACATGATAATCATATCCATAGCATTAGGGATGACACGAAAGGTTTACTGTTCCCCTAAACCAAATTATTATGTTTGGCTTTTAATTAGAAATTAAACATTTTGTCAGTTCCGGTATACGCATCAACAAATATCTTTTACTTAGATTATAATACTGTTAATACTATGATATATTTTTCCTCTGCGAAGATTGGTTATCCTATGGCCTACCTTGGCAACCTAGTTGTCATCTCTCATGTGACATAGTCGATAGAAGATAGATCTTGACCCAAGTCTTCTTTTGTCTGTACAGCTTTGGTCCTTAACTAACACTTTCACCCAGGCAAACCCTAATTCATTGTGGTTATATAACACATGCAATAACTATCAACAAATCAACTGTAAATAAAATGTATTTTAAAATATCATTTATCCATGCGATGATGACGAAACCCTCTAAGACTAGCCTGAAGTAATGTGCAAAATACAGTTCCAGGCTAGAACTAGCGTCCCAGGATGTAAAGGTAGGACAACAAAAACCCTTACTTACTGTAACGCTTACGTTGCTGAGAGAGAGTGGGTGCATAGAGGAGACATAATAGGAATAAAAATAGCGAGAAAAAGATAACCATCCAAAATAATTGACAGCTCCCTCATGCTGCACCTATGAGGTCAATAATTACACCCTAGAAAGATTATGTATTGTTAATTTGTAACTCAGTGACAATAATAAAAAGAGTACCTTTTTCTTGTTCCTTTTTGTGTTTTCATAAGCCCTGCGTGTTTCATATACATTTACACTGGATGGAGCCTGTAATGTTAATACATGTTAATAATGTTAATAATGTTAGTTTGCCACCTCGATCTAGTGTGACATTAGTACATGTAATAAATGATGGTAAAAAGTACAACTAGGAGTGGGTTAGCTGCCAGTCACATAAAAATTCTTCAAACAGCTTGGCTCTCTTCGTTCCCTCTTTATTCATTGTTGAATCTGTTTGCTACACTGTTGTACGTTAACTTTTTATATTCGATTCGATCTTAAATACGATATTCGATTTGCTACAGTACTATTAAAACCTATAACATTTTCAATTCATGCGTTGTATTTTAGAGTTAGTCTAGTCAAGATACGAAAAAAACCCCTTAACCTTAAAACAATTGCTCTAAAAGGTTTTTTGATGGTTTTCATTTCCAAAAAGTATGTTAAATTACATACTAAAAGTCTAATAAAATCGGAGTCTCGGAAATGTGGTTTTTCCAATATGGCGCCCAAAAATATGAAAAAATAATAAACCTTACTATTTTCCCTGTAAATTTTCTTCTGAACCTCCAATTTAGACCGAATTTGGTACAAACCTTTGGAACTGTATTATCTATAAACTATTAATGATTTAAGATAAATAATATACCGTAAACGTGTTTTATGGGGTTGAAAATAGGTAAAAATGTGTCTTAAGTTGTTAGTAGTAAATAACTTATTTCAATATTGGTCACTCTAGGGAACAAAACTTTTTATCTCTAGTCTGTGCTATACCCATGTTGTAAATCCTTAAAAAATATATGAAATTTAGTAATTTTCATCATAAAATTATTTTAAGTAGTAGTGGGATGATTATAAAAAAACTATGTAATTCTTGTGGAAATTCTGGAAATTACCATATCTTAATTAATTGTTAATTTGTACGCTTGGATAACAATTCATCATGGCCTGTATCGTCTCCACAGATACAAACACACACATATTTGTCATAAGCGAATTCTGTGTTGAGTAAAGTAATAGAATTTGTTTAAATACTTTTTTTACGCTCATTCAATTCTTTTATTTTGTGATAGTTCACAAGTAAATTATAAAAAAAATTATATGTATAATGTTTACAGGTTTATTTTGGCAATACTGCTGTTAATCAGATGTTTTTTCGACTTCATATGATTCCAATCATATTGCTGTTCATGTTTACATGTTTTAGATCAAATTTGGTCTAGTCAAGATATGAAATAAAACCCCTTAACCTTAAAAAAATTGCTTTAAAAGATGTTTTGATGGTTTACATTTCTAATAACTATGTGAAATAATATACTAAAAGTATAATAAAATCGGAGTCTCGGAAATCGGGTTTTTTCAATATGGCCAAAATTTCACTATAATATTTCCATAGACAAGCAAGCTTTAACACGGAAGGTATGGGGGTTTAGTGAGTGGGAGAAAATTTCGCGCCGTTCCGGCCAAACCTCGCATGCGGGGTTGGTTCGGCAGATTGGCCACAACCTAAACCCCAACTCTCACTTGTTAGCTGCGGAGAGCTACCTTCTGCCACTGGGTGTTGGTCCACCTACAGAACCAAGTGAGGGGGGCCCTAGACTAAGGTGTAATGCGATCCGTGCCAAGAGTCTTGTGGCACTGGGGGCCTAATATTCAGTGTCTTAACGGAGCCCTCTG